ACTAGTAACTAACCGTCTGAAGCCCGGAGTTTCCTACCTCACAGAAAACACATCGTCTCTAATCGTTTCATGCTGTTCAGGGAAGTGTTCGTTGTCTGTTGTGAGAGCATCACGGATCACGTGACACTGTGTGGGCAGAATGCAGGTGTAGCAGGTGGAGGCGTTACCAGCTTCTGCTGGTTTCTTGCTTCGCTTACTCTTCGACCGTGAAGATGGAAGCTTCAGGCTCTCTAGGAACTGCACGGCATTACAGCCCTTGAGGCTGTGGGCATACTCGTATGAACTTGATTGCTCTCATTGTCCTGTGACGCCGTTTGGAACCACAGAGGTCGACGAAAACCGGGAGTGGCTGCTGATGAGCTCGGTAGAAACTGTGAGCGGTTGTAGGAAGGGACTGAGGAGTCACTGTAGTGGACGACTGAAGAATCGAGGTTCGATTTCTGAGCGGGCAGGTATTTTTCTCTTCAACGTCGCGTTCAGACCGGTTCTGGGGCCCACCCAGTTTCCCATGAAAGGGATCCCTGGGGATAAGGCGGCTAGATCGTGAAGCTGATTACTCACCTCCATGTAGTCCCGAGGTGAAGAACGCGTGGAACCGTACCACCACACCCCCCAATGTCTGTGAGGCACTCCCTTCTGAAATTGTGGTTGGAACTTCAGTTTGGTCAGCCCTGTGGACAGCTATACATATTGTTCGCAGCTAACAGCAGGTCGGGCCCCGCCAGACCAGAGTGGCAGCCACTGAGGAAAACCAGTCCCAACTGACGAGAACTCCAGCGTTTCATTAATGCTATCTGTTCACATCGACACTCCACAACCGGTTGTCGGGTGTCTCATGCTGCCAGTGTTGCCAGCCGGTAAGAAACAAGTAGCCAGTGTTGGTAATACTGACCACTCGCCTGCTCGCTGCCTACCTGGGAGACCTGACCCGCTGAGAACAAAGTGCTGACTCAATTAGCAAACTTCAGACACAATTAAGAGAAACGCCCGTCTGATTTAAAAGACTGCGCGGCGCTGCCATTCAGATGCAAATCCATATTAGACGCGCCGCGTCTGTAACGAACACCCGCGGAATGACAATCCAAGGCGAAACTTAATAGCGAAAGTTTAACACTGGCTCTACGCGAATTCAATTATCCACTGCTGCTCCTTCCTCGCATTAATCGAATCAGCACATGTGACCTGCCTGCACCTGGCGTGGGAAAACACGTGTACCCTCACGCCTCACCCCCATCCACAGGGCCACAGTCACACAACGCCCTGCCTTTACGACCCTTGCATGGATCAAGACGCTACCCGCAGAACACGGCCCTATAAACTCAGCCATGGACTTGTCGACACCTTTCCGTTGCTTTATTGGCTTTTGCTGCGGCTACTCAACTGTTCTGGCTCGGATCTGTGGAACTGCGGTGGTTACATGGACTGCGCGATACATTTGCACAGGCGGACGCAGTCGGCGTGCGTCACAACGTACCGTTATTGCACAGCGTGTGTACCGCTCGAAGTGCATGTCTTCGGCCTGTAAGCCAATGAGAAGCGAGCACACTGTCGCTATACTAACGTTCCGCTGGTATTTCGAATTGTGTATAGTTTAGGTACTTAACTCTTTAAAGACTCAATTCCTTCTAAACAGTATGCAAAAATTCAGTCCGTACCTCACGTGAAACATTACGTCTCCGCTACAAAGCCCAACCGGTTAATACTGTGTAAGGAAACAGCCGCTGTTTATTGTGAGAACCTTACGGAACACACAGATAGACTTTGTGTGTGTGTGTGTGAGAGAGAGAGAGAGAAGTGGTAGTCTTAGTGAGAGACACTACATTGGGGGGGGGGAAGAAACTATGCAGTATATATAAGAATCCAGTCCGTACCTCACAGGAAACATTACGTCTCCACTAGAAAGCCCTACCGGTTAACGCTCTGTAGGGAAACAGCCGCTGTTTACTGTGAGAACCGTACGGAACACACAGTTACACTCTGTGGGCAGAATGCAGTATATATAAGAATCCAGTCCGTACCTCACAGGAAACATTACGTCTCCACTAGAAAGCCCTACCGGTTAACGCTCTGTAGGGAAACAGCCGCTCTTTACTGTGAGAACCGTACGGAACACACAGTTACACTCTGTGGGCAGAATGCAGTATATATAAGAATCCAGTCCGTACCTCACAGGAAACATTACGTCTCCACTAGAAAGCCCTACCGGTTAACGCTCTGTAGGGAAACAGCCGCTCTTTACTGTGAGAACCGTACGGAACACACAGTTACACTCTGTGGGCAGAATGCAGTATATATAAGAATCCAGTCCGTACCTCACAGGAAACATTACGTCTCCACTAGAAAGCCCTACCGGTTAACGCTCTGTAGGGAAACAGCCGCTCTTTACTGTGAGAACCGTACGGAACACACAGTTACACTCTGTGGGCAGAATGCAGTATATATAAGAATCCAGTCCGTACCTCACAGGAAACACATTACGTCTCCACTACAGAGCCCAACCGGTTACTGCTGTTTAGGAAAACAGCCGCTGTTTACTGTGAGAACCATACGGGACCCACAGATACACTCTGTGGATGTAAGGGACGATCTCCGATTGGGGGTGTTTGAGAACGAAGTGCTGAGATGGGTGTTTTTGGATCTAGTAGGGAGGCGTGACAGGAGGTTGAAGAAAATTTTCATATTGTGTAGTTTCTTAATTTATATTGTTCGCCAGATATAATTAGGATGATCAAATGACGAAGAATGAGGTCGTCCGTGTATGTAGCATGCATGGTAGTCATGACATATGTAGGCTTATGCAAGATTATTGTCTTCGAATTTGAAAGACAAACGCCACATTTAGTCCAAGGTGTAGATGGAAAGATAACATTAAAATAAATCTTAACGAAGCATGATGTAAGTGTGCTAACTGAATTTAACTGTCTCTATGTCGTCCGCTGCTCAGTATATCAAATTTCACGACGTTGTCACTGGCTCAGCAGTTCAGTGGTATTCCTGTAGCGTTGAATGTCAGGGAGATCAGTCAGTGCAGTAAATCCTCGCTAATCCGGAGGTCATTCGGATTAAGTGATAGTCCGGATTAGAGAAGCAAAAAGGCAAAAAAGAACTTAGAACATAAATAATTGGAAAAACTAATGATATTCTTCGTGCTGATGAGCATAAATAAAAAAAATATCACTGCAGAGCCTTTATGTAAAAAATATAAAAAGGCAATAAATTTATACATCGATGAAAGCCTCAGAAGTTGTATTTGTTTTGAAACATAATAATGCAGCTTTGAGAAAACTGTCGAATTCTTTTCTGGACAGTTAAGTGACTCATTCGCTTTCCTAAATGCATGTACTTAACTGTGAACAGCATTTTTCATATTTCATTTTTCGATCCGGATTAACTGTAACCGGATTAGCGAGGGTATACTATAATGGATTGGGAAGGATTTTGAAGTAAGTGACCATGGCCTAATATCAGTTCTATTCCGCCATTTGCCAGGAAACTACGAACAATCTTAATCAGGATAATGGATCCTCGGTCCAAGTTTGAACCCAGGACCTCCCGAACAGGAAACGACAGTTGCTGTGTTCATGGAATCAACAGATGTTTCGTATAAGTGTGTGTGTGTGTGTGTGTGTGAGCTTTGAGGACGTGACGGCATGTAGTCTGGTATATGCCTTCCGACGTTTCGGAACAGCTTAGTGCCTCCATCTTCAGCTTATAAGAGTAAGCTGTGAGCTTCCATATGTCACCAAGATTGCACTCTCCTGCCAGGCCAGAGTACAGACGCTGATTCATCTGTAACAACTAATATACTGAAATGGCGGTTGTTCGAACTTGAGGCGCGAAATTTGTAACGCCGGTCGTATGGTTGTGTAAGTACACGCCTTGAGCACGCATGGGACAGTGGAAGTACATCGCCTGGCCGCTGAACTGCTGTACGTCTTACTGTGGCCAGTTGAGTAACCTTCGTGACCCGCCTGAATATCGCGTGTTGCAGGTTAGCGCAGTGTTCCTTCCAGTTGAGCGCCGCACTTGCGACGGCTGTCACTCAGTGGGAAGGACGCGTCTTAGCAAACCTTACCGCGTCTCCGCGCGTCACATCAATCAAAGTCACATGTCAGCACTGACAGCCCGGCGGGACGGGAGAGGGTGTGTGCGGCAGTGGAAACGGGAGAGCCTGAGCAAACAAAGAAAAGTCCTTGCACCTGGCCCGCTCTTCTTTGGGGGGGGGGGAGGCTCGAAATATAATGCAGCCCGTCGTAATAAGCTGTCGCCCTCTGAAAACTTTTAGATGCCAAATTACAGTCGCTTCATTGTTCCTTCCTTTTTTCAAATAAAGCGGGTAGCTTTAATAATGGGGCGCTAATTATCCCCCCGAGAGATGGCTCCACAGTTTCATTAATCACCGACAGGGGGATTGTGTCGCCCTATGACGGTGGCGTAACGAATTAGTAAACACAAGAAGATCGGCTTCTTTAAAAGAAAAAAGAACGCAGCACTGCGAACAATACTCAGCACCACTTACAAAAGATTAGAGCCGTAATAATTTATAATGACGGCCACAATGAGGCAGCCTTCAAGGATAGCTCAGGTTGTTTGGAGAATTCCCAGCTCAGCCATCTTGAAATGCTACCTCGTGACGTAAGCGTTGCGGTTCGGGTGTCGCGTTTCGTCTGTTTGGAGACCAATTTGTTCATGCGGCGCTGTTCACAGTTCGAGTCCCGCAGCGCACTGCTGGATTTCAGTTGACTCCATTTTTACGAAAATCTGAGAGATCAATGCATCATGAGACCTCTCTGTATAGCGGAGAGGGAACACGCATTTACGCAGCAGCTTCTGCATAAATCTTGTGGTGTTTTGAAGCTCTGCAGGCAGAGAGCACAGGGGACGCGTCGGCCGGAAACCCAGTAACCACAACAGACAATGTTTCTCTTAAAATCTGAAGCTGCCAGTTTATCCGAAAGTGGCCGATAACAGCAATTTGCTTCCCGACAGGAGCGTCGGAATTCTTCTCTTCAGCCCTGCGTCCCAAATGACTGGACTGTGGGGTAAAGTTGACTGGAGCGTTAAGATTCAACAGCCCTTTGCTGGAGCTCTGACCTTACGCCCCCTGTACGCTTCGAGGTGTGGCCCTTGGACGCAGGAACAGAAGGCAGCAACTTGGCGTGCAGTATCCCCAAGAGGTTCACGGAAAGTTCGGTGCAACTTTGTACACATTGCCGCTCCCCGCGCGGTCGTCAAAAGGTAAGCAGGCAGACCAACTCTCTGGTAATTACATCCTGAATATCCATCACTGGCAACACAAACCCCTGTTCACCACGTTCTGCGACTTACATAGCAGGCCCAGTGTTTCCACACCTTGATCTGGCTGCTTTGTGGTGAGAGAGACAAGCAGCTTGGAGGAGAGTTACAGATGAGGAACAGCTAGAAGGAGATGCCTGTGGGATAGCATTAGGATGCAGGTTCCGATGTGAATGGAACTGGCTTAGCATTGTGATCAGTGGCGGGCTTGGTAGTAGCGGTGATGAACCTCGGGGTTCTGCTGCCAGAGACTTAGTTAATTAGTAAGATTAAATTATAAAGCGCTCTTGAAACGTTGAGTTACTTCTCAGTACAGAATCACTTTTTCAGTTGGCCCGATATAGCCCGCTACTCGTTCAGTTGGCCCGCTATAGCCCGCTACTCGTTCAGTTGGCCCGATATAGCCCGCTACTCGTTCAGTTGGCCCGATATAGCCCACTACTCGTTCAGTTGGCCCGATATAGCCCACTACTCGTTCAGTTGGCCCGCTATCGCACGCTACTCGCTCAGTTGGCCCGATATAGCCCGCTACTCGTTCAGTTGGCCCGATATAGCCCGCTGCTTGCTCCTGTGTGCCCTCCCCACCCACGTCATGAAACCAATCCTTTGCACGTCGGACCCCCCACATGGCGCGTAACCGGAGACGTCGCCCCGATCATGTCACGTCACTACAGTCTGTTCCACAACATTTGTTACTATCTGTGTTTAGGGTGGGGACCTCGGATCGAAGCCAGCAGGGTGGCATGCACTGTTGTGGCAGCCCTGAGTTGAGAGGATTGCATTGTCCCGCCCAAAGCTTCTGACCGCTCTCCCGTCAGACGTCACAGCATGGATATTCTGGGATGTGACGTCGTGTATTCTTGTAGTTTACCTCATTTTTGGAGAACATACTGCCTCCATCTTCAGGATCGCAGTGTGAGCGAAGCAGGCAGAGGCTTGCTGCGTTTTTGGTTTATTTATTGGCCCTGAAGATGGTGCCATTTCGTGCCTCAGGAAAGTTTGGAACGTCTGCAGGAGTCCTCGACGTCCCACTCCATAAGGTAATAGCCTTGACGCCCTGTAGTCTTGTAGAAATAAGTTCCTACGAGACGTAACTTATTTCAGACTGTACGGCGTCACATCGCAGAAGGTTATGCTCTTCATAGCCATCGCCGCAAAAATTCCAGATCTAACATTTATGGCTTATTTGGCAACGGAGACTGGTCGGGTGGTTGGTGAATAATGAATTGGAAAGGATATGGAAGGAAATGTCTTGGTTGTTTACTTTACGTTAAGTCCAAGCGAGTGTCGGACGCTTTCGGCAGTTAAGTAACGGGCTGCTGGCTGGACGACCGAGTTTGTGTCCCGGCGTGGGCAGAATGGTACTCTTCACACTGTCCAGCCTGATTGTTGGGTCCACCCAATGGGAACTGCGGCTGAGGCGGCCTCGTCCCTGAAGCTGACCTCTTCACCAATACGTAATGCGGAGGTTAGGAACTACCAGGTCTACATCTCCAGCCCACCATACTCATGCACCTCCTCATGGCATCGAGCCATCTCACTCTGTGTGAGAGAGAGAGAGCGAAAAAGTGGGGGTGGTAGTGAGAGACACTACATTGGGGGGGGGGGGGG